CAAATGGGCACAGGCAGGGGGAGTGACCCCACTGGGGTCAGGAAGGGATGTGGGAGGTTGGCCAGCTGGGAAAGGGCTGTGGGAGTACTCCAGGGCATGTCCAACCCATCTCACTCAATCCCAATAGGCCAGATCCCAGGAGCAAGCTAAACTACAGGTCCAAGCGTCTGCCCCCTAGTGGTCAATACATGACATAGGAACTGGTCGACTAATCAACTGTCTGCCCCTGGTGGTCAGTGCACATCATAGCGAGTGGTTGAGTGGCCTTAGCATATCATTAGCATATTATGCTTTGATTGGTTGAATGGCTGATTGGTCAACTAGACAATTAGCATATTAGGCTTTTATTATATAGGATAGCCTCAAAAATATAAAATTCACAAGAAAATAATTAATAACCACAGGCAAGCCCTCATTGTAAAAACTATATGTTATTTCTGAAAGAAATTAAGTAGCTAAATTGAGAGATACACAGCATTCATAGACCAGAACAATTAATATTGTTAAAAAGTCTATTCTCCCCTAGTTTTTCTACAGATTTACCAAACTTCCAATCATAACTCCAGCAGTCTTTATAACAGGAATTTTCAAGCAAATTTTAAAATTTATATTCAAATTTAAATCTTGAATGTCAAAGCAATTATTAAAAAATATGTACAGAAATTTCACTACCTGATTTAAAGACTTACTATAAAAACATAGTATTTAAGACAATTTGATGTTCATAAAGGAGTGGTCAATGGAATAGGATAGAACAATGGAATAGGATAGAAAAGCTAGAAATAGAACTACGCACATACAATCAACTAATTTATGGAAAGCCACAAAGGCAATGCCAAGAGGAAATTCCTTCAAGAATGATACTGGAAAAATTGGACATCCAGATGAGGGGGGGAAATGAACCTCACCCCTTACTTATACCACACACACAAAAATTAATACAAAGTTGATTATAGCCCCAAATGAAAAATGCAAAACTAAAAACTTCTTAGAAGAAAATAAAATAATCTTTGTGACCTTGATTGACCTTTTCAAACAAGCTTCTAAAAACATTCCCTAAATATTATCAAAATCATACTCCTAACAAAGGCAATATATATGTAAATATATAATCTTACCTAATAAAAGAGTAATATGCAAATTAACCATCATTCCACTATACCAACAAGCTATGCCCACCAGCCAATTAGAGTGAGTATGCAAATAAACCCAACCAAGATGGCTACAGCCACAGAGAACAGGAGGGAGGCTTGGGTTTCCCAGGCAATGGAAGAAGCCATGCTTTCCTCCTGCTCTTGCCAGCCTAGGCCTCCACTCAAAGCTACAAAGTTTCAATTATAGAAGGTAAACAAATCCAAACAGAAATGGCAGCAGCCAGGGAGCTGGAGAGAGCAGGCTGGGGTTACCCCCCGCCCCCCTCCCCGGCAACAAAGGAAGCAAAGCTTTCTGCATACCCTGGCTGACACAGGCCTCTGCTTAAGGCTATAAAGTTTCAATTTTAGAAGGTACATATGTCCCAATAGAAATGGCTGCCAGCCATGGAGTGAGCAGCAGGCTTGGCTCTGCTCCAGGCTACAAAGTTTCAGTTGTAGAAGGTAAATAAATTCCAGATAACAGGGCCTCTGTTTTGTCGCCAGGGGCATGGCTGGCCTAAAAACCACCATAGGCCCCTCGCCCAGGCTGTTCCATACCCCAAGGGAATCCCCACCCTGATCCAGAACATCTTTCAGGGCAAACCAGGTGGCCCAGTGCACCAGGCCTCTATCCTATCTAATAAAAGAGTAATATGCAGGTTGCCCATCACTCCAACACACAATATGGCTGCCCCCATGTGGTCAAAGATCCTACCCCTATATAAACACAAGATGGCCAGCAGGAGAGGGCAGTTGGGAGGGACCAGTCCTGGAAGGGAGGACAGTTGTGGGCAATCAGGGCAAGCAGGAGAGGGCAGTTGGGAGGCACCAGGCCTACAAGGGAGGGTAGTTGGGGGTGATAAAGCCTTCAGGGGAGGGCAGTTAGGGGTGACCAGGCCAGCAGAGGAGGGAAGTTGGGGCAAACAGGCTGGCAGGGGAGCAGTTATATATCAATCAGGCTGGCATGGGAGTGGTTAGGGGGTGATCAGGCTGGCAGGCAGAAGTGGTTAGGAGCAATCAGGAAGGCAGGCAGGTGAGCAGTTGGGAGCCAGCAGTCTTGGATTGTGAGAGGACAGTTGGACATCACTAGAGGGGTCCCAGAGTGGAGAGGGTGCAAGCTGGGCTGTGAGATACCTCCCTCCCCCGTGCATGTATTTTGTGCACTGGGTATCTAGTAAATATATAAAAGGCTAATATGTAGAGCGTATCCATGGCAGTTCGACCAGGAGACTGGAAGTTCGATCTCTCACTATGATATGCACTGACCACCACGGGGTGGTGGAGAGAGGCCCTGACTGGCAATTGACCCTGATCACCAGCCAGGCCTAGGGACCCTACCTGTGCACAAATTATGTGCACCGGACCTCCAGCAGGAGATAAAGGAAAATTTATTTTAAAGATACTGTTTTGGCTGAAACCGGTTTGGCTCAGTGGATAGAGCGTCAGCCTATGGACTGAAAGGTTCTGGGTTCGATTCCGGTCAAGGGCATGTACCTGGGTCGCAGGCACATCCCCAGTAGGAGGTGTGCAAGAGGCAGCTGGTCAATGATTCTCTCGCATTGATGTTTCTAACTCTCTATCCCTCTCCTTTCCTCTCTGTAAAAAATCAATAAAATATATTAAAAAAAAAAAAAAAGATAAAGATACTGTTTTGGTCCTAACCAGTTTGGCACAGTGGATAGAGCATCAGTCTATGGACTGAAGGGTCCCCGGTTGGATTCCAGTCAAGGGCATGTACCTTGGTTGTGGGCACATCCCCAGTGGGGGGCATTCAGGAGGCAGCTGATTTATGTTTACCTCTCATCAATATTTCTAATTCTCTATCCCTCTCCCTTCCTCTCTGAAAAAAAATCAATAAAATATATATTTTTTAAAAAGATACTGTTTTGCTTCTATTAGACTAGCAAGAATTATGGTTCCTTGTGTGGGCCAGGATATGAGGAGCTAGACAATCCCCTACCTACACTCAAAAGAAAAGAAATTGCACATACTGTTAAGTCATTTTGGAAGGGTAAAATGGTAACATAAGCAATGTAAATGTTATGTTCTTTGGGCACTTCCATTTTTAGGAATTTATTCTGAGGAAATAATCAGCTAAGTGCAAGAAGCAACACACACACACTATATGTGTGTGTGTGTGTGTATGTATATGTATATATATATATATATATATATATATATATACACACACCCTACCTAATAAAAGAGTAATATGCAAATTAACCACCACTCCACTATACCCACAAGCCATGCCCACCAGCCTATCAGAGTAAGTATGCAAATTAACCCCAACCAAGATGGCAGCCACAACAGAGAGCACGAGGGAAGCTTGGGTTTCCCCGGCAATGGAGGAAGCCAAGCTTTCCACACACCCTGGCCGGCCCAGGCCTTCACTCAAGGGTACAAAGTTTAAATTATAGAAGATAAATCCCAAGAAAAATGGCAACAGCTATGGAGCTGGAGAGAGTAGGCTAGGGTTGCCCACAGCTATGGAGGAAGCCAAGCTTTCCACCTGCTCTGGCCTAGGCTTCCACTCCAGGCTACAAAGTTTCAATTATAGAAGGTGAATAAACCCAACAGAAATAGCTGTCCTCCTGGAGCGAGCAGAAGGCTTGGCTTCGCTCCAGGCCACAGTTTCAATTGTAGAAGATAAATATATCCCAGACACCAGGGCCTCCGCTTGGGTCGCTGGGGGGACATGGCCGACCTGCAAACACCATAGGTCCCTCACCCAGGCTGCCCGATGCCCCAAGGGAACCCCCACCCTGATCTGGGACATCCTTCAGGGCAAACCAACTGGCCCTCACCCATGCACCAGGCCTCTATCCTATCTAATAAAAGAGTAATATGCAGATTGATCTTCACTCCAACACACAAGATCAAGATAGCTGCCCTCATGTGGTCAAAGATCCTGCCCCCATGTGGACACAAGATGGCCAGCAGGGGAGGTCAGTTAGGGGTGACCAGGCTAGCAGAGGAGGGAAGTTGGGGGCAAACAGGCTGGCAGAGGGGCAGTTAGACATCAATCAGGCTGGCAGGGCAGTGGTTAGGGGTGATCAGGCTGATAGGAAGAAGAGGTTAGGGGCAATCAGGAAGGCAGGCAGGTGAGCAGTTGGGAAGCCAACAGTCCTGGATTGTGAAAGGGATCCCAAGATTGAAGAGGGTGCAGGCTGAGCTGAGCGACACCCCCTCGCCCCTGAATTTCGTGTATGGGCCTCTAATATATATATCCATCCCAGAATATTCAGTGAAGCACTGGTTGAGATAAATAAAAAAAATTGGCAATATTCTATAAACTCTTTTTGCAAGAGTCACTATATTTGAAAAAGTACAAAAACAACCATTACTAATCTTAGTACCCGATGAAAATGGATTTCATCATCATTAAGTAATAACACCAGTGGAAAATACAAGGCCAGCAAAATTTGCAAAGACCAAGTTTGTAAACAATTTTTTTTTTTTTTACAATGAACTGGTGTTGACTCCTATTTGGATACTAATTTACTATGCGTTTTCATAAACTGAACTTATACCTGTCTTCCCCAATTACTGCAGCATTTACTTAATGTGTACACAAAGAATTTTTTTTATGATGAAGTTATTAGCACTCATAATGTCTGCTTCCCAAAAGGCAGTTAGTTGCAAGCTGCACTGTACTTCATAACTGATAAAAATCCATTTAGTTTTTTAAAACTATGCATAAGACATAGCTATTCATTGAGGAATTCATAAATGACTAGATCGTTTAATTGAAGGCAGCAGATATGTTCCCCGAGTTCTAACATTGAATTTGAGATCCAATGAAATAAAAACTAAAAAAAGTAAACATTACCTTCCCTGGTAACCCTACCTGCTAAGGCCTCTTACCTTGATTCTTGCTTTCTCTATAAATTCCAGAGGGGCTTTCCCAAACTCAAATGCAGCTCCAATCCAAGGAATCCAGCCTCCGATGCACGGGGGACCGCTCAAGTTCTTCCACCGGAGGAATAACAGAAGAGCGACGCATCCTAGGATTATAATTACTGACGGGAAAATTAGTTCCATGTTTTTGTCTGGCACCTTCCAGAATCAGAGAAGGAAAAGTCCTCCTGCCTTGGCACTTGTTCCTTCCCTCTGGGAATCGGGAGCATCCACCGGACTGGACCTCGCAATGTTTCCTTGATGCAACTTTGGCAGCTTTATTCGCTTTTCCAAGTGTAGTCTCCTTTCCCCGCCCCAATTTTTAGATGACTTTTGCATCATCGCTCCCTCCCACTTCTCTTTCAGATCTTAGCCAACCGGTCTGTGGTGCTGAGGCTGGACCGAGGTCGGAGGGCGGGTTCCGAGAGTCAAAGGGGGAGAAAAAAAAAAAAAACACCCACAAACATGCGTTGTTGCCATGGATACAGAGGGCTCAGCGAGCGCGAGATTGCGGCCAATCAGAGAACGCGGCTCAAGAGGCGCAGAGTGCGGAGGACTACATTTCCCAGAAGCCTCTGGGGCTCCGCGTTGTTTATCTGTTCTCTGTCCTCTGGACCACTCCATCCCCGGCTGTTAGGAAGGTTGCGGGTTCACAGGGCGAAGCCGGGAGAGGGTCGTGGACGCCGCCACGCCCTTGGCCGGTTGAGGAGAGGCCGCCCCGGCAGGGTGGCACGCCAGCGGTGGCGCCCGCGCCGGCCAGAACGGCTGCCTTGTCGTCCTGTCCTGCTGCTGCATGTCGGTCCCCGAGGATGAGGAGAGGCTTTTGCCGCTCGTCCAGAGATGGCCCCGAGCCAGCAACTTCGTTCTGTCCGGCTGCGCGGCCACCGTGGCCGAGCTAGGTACCCGGACGCCCGCTCCTGGGCCTCTCCCGCCGGTCGTTGTGGCGCCGCCCTGGAAAGAGGGGTGGCAGCGGGGGAGCGGGGGAGGGGAGGCGGGACCGGAAGATAGATGTCTTCGTTCCCGGGTGTGTGCAGTCCGCGAGGTTGCGCCCTTCCTTCCCCACGTGTCCAGCAGAGGTGGCGGGGTACGGGCAAGGCCATCTTTGTGTGGAGGAGGGAGTGGGGGGTCGCTGAGGTCTTTGCTTTCCTAATTTCGTCTCCCTCAGAGGTGTGCAATTGCACCCAAACGTGTGCTTTTAGGAGCTTCACCGGTTGTCATTCCTCTTAAGGAGTCATTTCCCCTTTAGTGAGGATGACCTTTTGAAAAACAAAATCCACTTTTCATCCTTATTGAAATCATCTCATGGATGTCTATTCTTTTTTCTTTAAAAAAAACAAAACTTACCTTTACTGTTGAGATTATTACATATTTCCCTGTGATTTATGTTCTTACACAGCCTCACTCCACATTGTCTTTTGGGTCCAAATTGTGGAACCAACTTGTGGGACTTAAGTATTAACGGGTCACACTTAATTGACTCGGCATGTACTCAGCACCTGTCAGTTGGCCACTTGGAGCTTAACTCATCTATGTTTACCTTGCAGGATTCTGGAAGGTCAAAAGTATATAAATACTAAATCCAAGGCAGGGCCCCCTAATAATCGTGTTATTAGTATAATTACTGCAACGCTAGAGACTGTGGAGATATAGTTTAAAAGACCCAATTCTGACCTTACAGGCTGGTGGGGAGACGCGTATTATTATAATGAAGGTATTGTTACCTATCAGAAGAGCATAGAGATGAGCAGGTACCTCTGTGTAAGCAAGTCAGGGAAAATGGAAGGCCACCTAGAACAGACTGAGGATGCCCTCACATGAGCAGGTGGTGTTTCTTCCAAGGGTTTTTGTGAGTAGTGCCTACCGTTCCCTCTGAAGCCTTCCCTGTGAATTTTAAGATTACCCTTTAATTTTGTTGCCCATTTAAAACAAACAAAAAGTAGCCGTCCTGATCTGTTATCATTTGTAAATATTTGTCTTGTTCTAAAGTGAGTTAATTTGTATTTCCAGCCCAGCCAGCACCTTATCTGTTGTCTCGCCCTTTGTGCTCCTGCACTCTTGCCCTTTAAACCTTCTCCTTTTTCCTCTGTCCACCCCAAACTCATGGAGAATTACTTTCATTCATTGTTTTTACTGAAATATAATTGATCAACTTTTTCTTTTTAATTTAAAAGCAGGTTGCTGAATGATTAGATATATTTCCAGGTGGGACTTTTTATTTTGTTTTGTCCTTTTGTTTGTTTTTGTTTGTTTTTAAAATTTATTTAAACTGATGTTTCCCCTCTGACCAAAGGCTTGTATTTCCTCTGTTAAAAATTCATAGAGAGTTGTTAGGAGGCTGGGAGAATAAAAACATGAGATGGTTTTGAGTGCAAAACAATTTAGGATCAGAACCTGGAGTAGGATTTAAGTAACTAGCAAGAAAAACAAAAATTTTTTGAGAGTCATAACCTATGCTCAAATAGAGGCTCCTAGGTCTTAAGACTTTTCATATTTCAATGAAGTGTTGCTTGAATCCTCTATATGTTAATTATGTCTGTTTTAGGGAAACTATTGGCAAGATATAAATTTTTCCAAAGACTAGTATCAAGATTTAATATCCTCTTCAACTCTGTTTTCTTTTGGAAAGACATAGCTATGGTTTTGTATCAAGTGGGTGTCATTGAAAAACTTATGTAATATTAGCAATGTTCATGAACTTAACTGAATCTGGTCATCTCAATTATTTGGGACATTGTGTATATAAAGTTATGAGCTTGATATTCCTACTCTGGGCTAGTTAGCGCCACTCTGTTTCAAGGTAAAAGGTCTATCTGTAATTCAAAATGTAATCATTAGAAAAATAATTTTCAAGGGCAGTTGGTACTTGTAAGGAGGCCATGCATAAAAATTGTCAGTGCTGGAAAAACAACATGTGCTTTAATACAAGGCCAATGAGCATGCCATCCTCGTATATAAAAGATGATATTTTTAGCTCCTTATTGCATCTTCTGTGTCTCAAACAAGTTAGTGATTCATCTGCCTGTGAACATCATCTATGAGATTATAGAATTCAGCTCCATCTGGCATTCAGAACCTAGGATAAGTAGTACAGTAGTCTAAAAGTCACATTAGCTCTAAATCACAATTGCAGTCAAGAGTACATTACAGACTATGGATACCTGGAATTACAACCATCGGAAAGCAAAACTTAAGAACAAAAAAGTAGATTTTAGACTGAAATTTCTGAACAAAAAGAACCCAAGCCTTGTCACTTTTCCTCCTGGCGATTGGGATGTGCTCTGGAGCAGTGGTTTGTAAATTTGGGAGTGCATATGGATCAACGGATTCCCATAGCCGATTCTGATGTTCTCTAAAATATGAGAATCACTGATCGTGTGATGAAAGTATTAGTCCTGTGATTTTAGAATTGTTGTTTGTTCTTCTGATTATTGTGGGTTTCAACTCATTTTGTTTCATTTGTATTAGCAACCTTTCCCCTTGACCTCACAAAAACTCGACTCCAAATGCAAGGAGAAGCTGCCCTTGCTCGTCTGGGAGACAACGCAAGAGGACCTGCTCCCTACCGGGGCATGGTGCGCACAGCCCTCGGGATCATCCAGGAAGAAGGCTTTCTAAAGCTTTGGCAAGGAGTGACACCTGCCATTTACAGACACGTAGGTATTTATCTTGATTCTGGCTGGTAAGTTTGTTTTGATTTCTGTGTTTGTCTCCTCTGCTTTTCTCTTTGGCTCTATCCAAAAACCAGTTAGTTTTTTTTTCTACTTATGTGATAAATGAATATATAGTCTCTTAAGAAGAAGAAAATAAATTCCCAATTGTTACCAAGGAATTATTGCACTAAATTTTTAGAAATACATATAGAATTATTTAGGGATGAACTGTCATAATATCTGTAATATATTTTAAATTAATTAAGAAAAAGCACACAACATGAAGCAAATAGGGCAAAAATGTTAGCACTTTATAAATCTGAGTTATAGATACTGAGGAGTGTTATATCATTTTCTCTACTTCTCCGTATGTTTCAAAATTTTCCCAATAAAATTCTTTTTAAGTTTAAGAAAAAAAACCATAATTTATGTATTTGTTTATTTTAGAAACATTAAACACAAAATTAAAAATGTTTATGTTCTTGAAAATTAAATATATTTGACCACAATTCCACATCTCACCAATACATTAGAAACCAGGCTACTCTGAAAAGACAGCAAGCAAGAATGACTGTGCAACTCTGGCAATAGAGTTCATGTTAAAAAGGTGCTTTTGGTTGCCTCAGTTTCCCAGACTACCTAACTAGCTAGCTATGTGGGCCTCTGGTCACTCTTAAAGGAAAATAGCCATTAAGTACACTGTAGCCAATGAGAACACTTTTCTGCTCTGCTTTATGAGTGGCCCTCATAAAGACAGAGGTGTTGAGTTTTCAGTTTGTGGACAGGGGAACATAAACTTGGCTTCAAAAGGTAGTAGGGCAGTCCTGAGCAGTGGCTGAAGCATCAGCCTGAGTACTGAAGGGTCACCCTGGGCATGTACCCCAGTTGTAGGTTCCATCTCCCCCTTTCTCCCCCTCTCTCCCTCCCTCCCCCTCTCCCCCTCTCTCCCTCTCCCCCTCTCTCCATCCCTCCCCCTCTCCCCCTCTCTCCCTCTCTCCCCCTGTCCCCCTCTCCCCCTCTCCCCCTCTCTCTCTCCCTCTCCCCCTCTCTCTCTCCCTCTCCCCCTCTCCCCCTCTCCCTCTTCCTCTCTCTCTCTCCCTCCCTCCTTCCCTCTCCCTCCCTCCCTCCCTCCCTCCCCCCTCCCCGCCCCTTTCCCTTTTAATCTCTCTATAAAAAAAATTATCAATGGAAAAAATATCCTCAGGTGAGGATTGAAAAAAATAAAAGGTGATAGGACAGGTGTGGCATTTTACTCCTCTATATTCATCATGTTTCCTCAACTCTCAAAGGGACCCTTGGTCAGAGAACTACCCAGCAGTAACTTCCATCTTACTCTTTTTTTTTAAAATATATTTTATTAATTTTTTTTACAGAGAGGAAGGGAGAGAGAGAGCTAGAAACGTCGATCAGAGAGAAACATCGACCAGCTGCCTCTTGCATACCCCCTTCCGGGGATGTGCCCGCAACCAATGTACATGCCCCTGACCAGAATCGAGCCTGGGACCTTTCAGTCCGCAGACCGACGCTCTACCACTGAGCCAAACCGACTTCGGCCCATCTTACTGTTTTTAAAGCTTCAGTTTTTCAGATGAGTACATTTGAGTGCATTCATCAAGAACTATCCAGAAATGTGCAAATGTATTTTGGTACTTTGTATATATTTTTTAATATCTTGAAATATTTCATCAAACTTCCAGAAACACCAAGAAAAATTCTCTATATGAATAGTATGTACTGATTTTAATGATGTTTATTTTTCATCCTTTTAAAAAGTATTTTCTCCTTTGCTTCCCATTGTTATTTTGAATTTCACTTCTTTTCATGTATATTTTTGACCACCATATATG